TTCAGGGATGTAGTCAGTTAGGTTTCAGGGACTGAAGGGGATTTAGGGTTAAGGGGTTTAGGGATTTAGGGCTTCTTTGATGCAAGCTTGATGGCACAGGAGCCCTACCTGCACCCCAGTGGAATGTAAAACAATATGACAATGATGCTTCTTACTTTTGTAGGGGTTTAGGTTCCTCAGAGCCCTGTTTAAGCCCTTTTCGCAGACCTATAGGAACCCTAAACCCTAAACCCCTAAACCCCTAAACCCCTCATTCCCTAAACCCCTAAACCCCTAAATCCTAAAGCCTTAAACCCTAAACCCCTAAACCCCAAAACCCCCAAAACCCTAGAAGATCCCCTGTAGTATGCTTCGCGGCTGGGAGGCCGTCCCCACCTGGACTGACGCTGCGCTTCGAAGTCATAAGTTTAGTGTTTAGGGTTTAGGGAACATAGAACTATTAAGGCTCTCTACAAGATCTGACGAAAACGCTCCATGAAATGCTAGCCTATAGACATGCTACCAGAGTTGGTAAAATGAGGTTGTGTAGTACATTCTAGCAGTACGAACAGTCTCCCTACCCATACTACTATACTCGAAGCCACTAGAACTCTCCGGAGCCGAACTTCTCAGCCGAATGCTTGGAATTGAAAGAATTCTACACTGTTAGGGGTTTAGGGTTTAGGATTCATGCGTGGGAGTGCGCTGCAGCTGCGGAAAGTATCGGGTCGGATCGCAGATTGGCTGAGCTGGAGATTCCGAGTGCTCGCAGATTTCCCACGAAAAGTCTTTCTTCAACGATGTCAAAGAAGTGCAAGACGTCCTCCAAGACCGCCTTTACCAGTGCTCAGCTGACGAGGAAGCCGACTCCGACGACTCCATGATCACCAGCCGCTCCAGCAAACTAAGCACAGCGGCAGACCAGAGAAGGCCAGGGGGCCAGCTCGGCAGGTGACAAAAATTGCGCCAGGCCATGCAGAAGCATGTGATCGACACATCATCCTAACCTCCCAGGTACCTACTATATAGGGTACTAGAGCCCCTAGGGCCCTATGTGTAATGGACCTCTATGTATGATTTGCGGGTCTTGGTTGTTTCGAAGGACGCATAGAGGATAAGAGAATACAGAAAACAGTTTCAAGATTCCAATTTTTTTCAATAATTTACCTAACAAGGACAACTTCTTGAAAATATTGAAATTTTAGAAAAAATAAAGATCCTGGCCAGGCCCGGCCGTCGCCCACCAGGATTCTTCAAAATTTTTCTGAAAATAAATTTTAATCTTTTGAAAGAATAAAGACAAATATTTCAATAATTTCAAGTTGTTCTAAAATTTACCTAGCAAGGAAACATTGTTGAAATTGTTGAAAAATAAGACCCTGGCCAGGCCCGGCCGTCGCCAGCCAGGATTCTTTAAAATTTTTGGAAAAACATGAAATTTTTGGAATTATTGAAAAAATAAAGACAAATATTTCAAAAAATCAATTTTTTCAATAATTTACCTCAACAGGAAAAATTGTTGAAATTTTTGAAAAAATAGAAAAGCTTGATTTGTTTGCAATATTTGTCTTTATTTTTTCAATAATTTCAGAAATTTTCAATAATTTCAAAAATGTTGAAGAATCCTGGCTGGCGACGGCCGGGCCTGGCCAGGATCGCTATTTTTTCAAAAATTTCAACAATTTTTCCTGTTGAGGTAAATTATTGAAAAATTGATTTTTTTGAAATATTTGTTTTTATTTTTTCAAAAATTTCAATATTTTCATGTTTTCAAAAATTTTAAAGAATCCTGGCTGGTGACGGCCGGGCCTGGCCAGGGTCTTATTTTTTCACAAATTTCACGAATTTCAATAATTTTTCCTTGCTAGGTTGAAACATTTGTCTTTATTTTTTTCAAAAAATTTCAACAATTTCAATAATTTCCATAATTTTGAAGAATCCTGGCTGGCGACGGCCGGGCCTGGCCAGGATCTTTGTTTTGTCAAAAATTTCAGCAATTTGACCTTTTGAGGTAATTTTTTGAAAAAATTGAATTTTTTGAAATATCTGTCTGTATTTTTTTCGGTAATTCCAAAAAATTCAATCTTTTCAAAAATTTTAAAGAATCCTGGCGGGCGACGGCCGGCCCTGGCCAGGGTCTTTTTTTTGCCACAATTTGATTCAACAATTTCAAGCATTTTCCCTGTGGGAAGTTGCTCGGACATTTGTCTTTAGTTGTTCAGCAAGCGTTTCTTCTTTACATGTGAGACCCGCTAGAACATACAGAACATAACCATTATTGAAATGTCGCAAATCGTTAACGGTGTAGTGTAGACTTCAAGCTTCCTTGTTACATCGAGGTCTCTGCCTCGGCGCACGGCATCTTCCGGCTTTGTTCATGGTTGAGTTTTTTTCAGTGGTTTGTTTAGGCTTTCAAAGCCAAGGTGATGGACCTTTGTTTCGTGTTCGGAAGTCGCCAGAACGGCAAGCTTGTCGCATCATGTCCAAGGTTTGAATAGCTGCAGCTACCTTCTTATTTCGATCGCAAATATTGTCCCTAGGTTCACAAAGTTGTGGTGGGATCGCAACGCCTCGAAGTTACTTGCGCAGAAAGACGCTTTCAACGACTTGTGTTCGAACGAACTCTTGATCACGACAGTGGCCTGGGGCAAAAAGGAATTGTACATGCCGAAGGTCTTTTGCCAGAAGACTTTCAGAGAAGTCTGTAGCAAGGCGCAGCCTAGCAAGCCTACGGTGCTGCGCGAAATGTTTGATGCCAGTGAGCTTTGGAAGGCGGTCGACTCATATCCGTCTCGAGGACACAATGCTGAGATCTTGCAGCAGTTCTACAAGAAGCTCCTCTCCCACATCAGCAAGAAACGTGGCCGGATGAGGGCAACGCAAGCCGAGTCTCTCGCCCACTGGCAACATACATCCGACAAGCTCAGGAAGCAAGAAGATGTTGCTAGATCTCTGTTGGACTTCTTTGAGACAGAGACAGCGCCGGCAGCAGCGCAAGCAGCACAAGCAGGACGTCAGCAGCATAACGGGGTCCTGTCGGCGCAGAGATTGCAGGAGCAGGGTCCACATGCAGAGCACGTGTCGGCCGCTTGTGAGTCACCCGTCGAACCGCTTCCTATGAATCCGTTCGAGGGAAGTTCTGGTCACTATGCAGACCAGCTACAAGTACAACCAACCAATGTTGCACACACGTCGGTATGCAGAGGATTTATCCGCGCAAAAGTTGTCTAGAGCATGGTAGATGGTTAGTTTTCCTTCCGCACACAGTTGACCTGGACATCGAGAATTGCTGCTTCGTGTTAATGTTGCAAATTTTAGACCGTATGGATCCGGATCACGCAGAATGGCCGTCCGTGAGAGAGACACTCAGCGCCTGTGCCGAGGACCGAGAGAAAGTGATTCAAGAGCAACTGCGTATCTGCTGTGGTCTGGGTAAGAGCATCCTTCTCAAGGTGTTCAACGGAGGACAGCCCCCGTGTGAGCTGTCAAACAACCCGTTCGTGAAGAGCCTCCAACGAGCATCGCTGTTTTGCAGGTGGCTAGCAGCGTCGTCACTTCCAGAGCTTCACCGACATTTTGTAGATGAAGCCAGGGACAATCCTGAGGCGTCGACCTTGTTTTATATTTGGACAGTTGCTGAGGATGCGGTTTTGGATGCGTGGCTGGAGCACCTGCAGGCGTTCCATCCCTCGCACCTGTCGCTTCACTTCGATGGCATCCGCGTCAGCTCAAATGATGTTGGAGAGGCAGTTCAAGATATCTGTGCAGCCTGCAGTCGCCATACCGAAGCCAAGGCAGGTTTCAAGGTCCACATTCGTCCAAAGACTCACGGTTGCTTTCTGCAGCTAGTTGCGCAAAAGGGCTCCTCATCTCCGCTGCACTGTGCTGAACAACTTCTAAAGCCTGGCAACTGTATCTTACGTGGTCTGTTCCATTTGGGTTTTACAGATGATGCCATCCGCATTCACGATGACACCGCGTCAGAGTACGGTTTGTACTACAGGCGTAGAGGACACCGAACATACTTGCATGTGGAGTCTGCATCTGGAAGAGAATTTCATCCTCGACAGGATCTGGCAGATGAAAGCCAAGGACCAATTCCTGTTGCCGTGCTACGTGCGGGGACAGCCTCACTGCGTCGCGGTCGTGGTTTCTGACGATAACGAGGTCAAGGTTGTAGACGGGTCTTCTTGCTGGACGTTGAGAACCGAAGAATTTCAGGACGCATGGCACGCACGATGCGGCTGATAACAAGTACTTAGTGATATTTGACGTCTTGGAAAAAGGCCGCGTAGCCAAGGAGCACGCAGATTCAATGGAACCTTTGCCTTCCGAGTGGGCTGTGTTGAAGGAGCTGCAAGCAGGTTCAGGAGACACATCGTCAGAGGAAGCAGAGCTCAGAGGACGAAGGCGATGGGGCCGATGAGGCGACCACTAAAGTCGGCGATCACATCTTGGCATTGATGGAGAAGGAAGTTGATGACTTGCTCGCCAAGAAGAAGATTCACACGAACTTAGACAATCGGCTGGTGTGTCCGCTATGTCCTTTCCGAGCTTTCGACAAAAATAACAAGGGTAGAGTTTTGCATCACATTCAGAAGTACCACTGTGCATCGAAACAGTACTGCCCTCGCGGCACAAAGCAAATGAAGCTTGTGATTGCCCTGCACGACAGTGACCGCCTCCTGACAGGAGCAGAGAAATGCGACCTGCTGTCCCGATCTGCATCCATCATGCGACAAACCATCGCACCGCCTCTCCCCGGTGCCATCAACTGTATTGGCCGCTTCATCCGCCCGGTTATGACAGAATCGAGACCAGAGTTCTGGAATGTCGCGTCTCCACTGTTCAAGGCGAAGCAATTGTTCGGCGAGTTCGATCCCCGTACTACACCAAGGGTTTCCGGCATATGATTTTCCAGCAGACGTTGCTTTGCGATGCCAAGATGCAGGGAAAGGTAAACGTTGTTCTCGCAAAACGGCTAGAGTGGCTAATGTCGACTAGGTCAACAGCACACCAAGGATTGGCTGCCGCTGATGGAGGATATTCTCACTTCTCCGGCCGTTGCGGCAATGGAACTAGAACTCATCCATGAGCTCGTAAAGCACAACGAGTACCAGACGCTGAGCATCGATGCCACGCTTAGGTGCTGTCTTCCCATCCTAGGACAGCCACGCCCACGTTCTATGGATGCGAGTCAAGCGGCCTTCGACGAAGCCAGCATGCTGTGAAGGGTGTCGTGGCGGATGTAGATTTGGTCTGAACATAGATGCAGCAGTGTAGCTTCAAGACCAGCAGACAAGCAAAACCCTCTCGGAGCAGCCCATGTGATTGTAGTCTCGTCAAGGTGTTCACCGTACGTGGGCGAACAAATGCCGTGGTCGGCATGTTCGCAGCAGCCAGTGATGATGCATGTGGAGCAGCACAATCTCTGGCAGAAAGCATTACAGCTGAAGGTCTCGCTCAGGTCGAATTCGTCACCGTGGACAATCCGAGCCGGCACTACTTGCTTAGTCTGAAGAACATTTGCCCAAACCTGCAGGTTATGGCTTTGGACCCAGTGCATCTGGCCATGCCATGTGAGTACGCAAGTTCTCGGAAACGTACCCAGGCCACGAAAACATTGCGCTGCATTCTGTCCAAATTTTCTGCTGTTGATCACACGTACGATGCTGCAAGTTGGGGGCACGTCTTCCACGGACGCAGTTGCAAAGGGCTTACAGTCGAGGAAAAATCGCTGCGTCAGAAAATCGAAGATCGGACAATGTGGGTGACGACGACAGCGGAACAAATCCTGGCACAGCTGGACCCAAGCCGACCGTTCTATACGCGCATCGAGTGGATTCGGTCCTTAGCCGCCTTGGTTTCAGTCTTCCGGGATGAGGTGAGCCGCCTCGCTCGTGGTCCAAACGGGCGAATTTGCCAGCTGCTTCACACAGCAGCTGCTGCAGAGCGAAGTGGATGGTACATGAACAACATTCGACTTCGTCACAGCATGCCGAGACACCGGCTCAGTCTACTCCCCGTTGGCACCACCAGCAACGAGTCACTACATCACGAGATCAATTGCTGGTTCCGTGAGACTCAGCAAATGCACCAGTCAACTCTGCAGCTCAAACTTCGCGTTCTGAAGCTTGGCAAGCTCATGTCGCACAACTCAGCTTTATACCAGCACACCTCCAAGCAACTGCCGCATTCTGTCGTGCTGGCACGAGCCATTCGTCGCACCCTGTGGTCGGAGAAGGGATGGCAGAGGTGGTGCAAGGAGCGTGCACGACCAAGGTGCGGTGTCCAAGGCGAGCCTGCCACTTTCTGCAAAGCGACAGCAAGAAAAACAGGCGGTCAAGGATGCTGTTGTGAGAATGAAGCGTCCTGCTGCCACACACTCTTCTGTCGTGAAGAAGAGACGGCGCACTCCCCACACTCTTCAGCGGAAGGATTCGCTTCGGAGAGGAGGCATGCGTTCGTCCACCTAGTCGTCAAAGATTGATTGAGGCTGAAGCTGGCAGTGCTGACGCGAGCAAAAGGCAGAGCGATGCATGCAAGAATACTGCTGTTTCGCTTGCCTCGTGGAGTGCAGAGGAGGTTGTGACAGAAGCAGAGCAACGGCCGTCCCACTAAAGTCCGCGTGTGTTCAAGGCTCCGGAGGAGGGCTTTGTGATCTGGACATGTGCTGCCTGATGCCGGATCGTAGGAGGTCTGTGTCTGAGCCTGCCGGCTGTGGATGCCTTAGCACCCGTTGCATCACAGCTGGGGTGTTTCAGAACGAGCAGGCCGAATCTCGACCACCTGCGGCTTCCGTCTCGGCATCGTGAGAGCGAATGCAGCGGGAAGCTCAGTTTTTCTTTACCGGGTAATATCGGTGTAGCGACGAGCATCTGTTCTGGGTATGACAACAACAACGATTGGTTGCCTCGAGTCAGACCGGCCTGCGAGAAGCTCGAATATCACCACTGTCACGGAAGCAGGTGGTAAAGTGCGACCAGGAATGTCTAGTGTAGTATGAATGTGCGGAAGTCGTGCCGCAAGACGGAAGCCGTCCCAATCCCTGTGTAGTCTTTCAAATGGCTTGCGATCGGCGTGCCAGTAGGGCAAAGACCACGGACCATGAAAACGGCGTCCACACTGTGCGAGCTTTCCGCACTGATCTTAAAATGCAAAGAAGCGGCATCCACACCTCCAAGAATGACTATTCTCGCTGACGGATGTGAGATAAGCCTGGCGCTTGTATGGGCATGGCCTCATCATGACCAAGAGCCTGTGCCCTGCAGAGGGGGTTGTCGGTTGAAGATGGTTTTGGCTTGTGGTCATGGTTCTTGGACCTTTCCTCTGGGTTCAGTCTGCGAGCACCGACCGGGAAACAGTCGGTCCTCCCGATCTCCTTAAAGAGACATTACTGTAAGAAATGCGAGAGCCCCGATTATGCTTTCGAATGAAGTCCGAATCGCAGAACACGCCGCCGATATGAAAGCAGATGAAAAAGGTTGCGCTATCACGCTGCGAACGGACGTCGATGCCTAGTCCATTCGTAGGTATCGCAATCTGAGCTATCAAACAGAATGTCATGGACCACCATGTACATAGAGCAAGGCTCCGTTTTGCGGACCTTGTCTCACAACCTTTTCTTGTGCTATGGGACCGATCCCGGATCATGCTGTAATGCCAGTACTCTATGCTCTGCATGCAACGCAACTGTGGCTCAAGAATATGCCAAACTAGCCAAAGCTAGTAAGCCTGTACCTAACGAAGGATTCGAGCCATTCCCCTTGCACAGACAACTCGTCGCGTATCTCTTGGCGAGAAAACAATCGGACCGAGTTTGCTTGCAGGGAGTGAGACGTGAAGTGGAAGTGATTGCCTAACAGCTCAGCAAGGCGAACCACAGCTACAACAACGCGCTCGGTGAGGTGAGCATCAACATACAGTATCATCGATACCAAACCCTCACGCACACGCTATCAGATCATCAGAGATATATGTCGAAGGTGTGACAGCTTGTGTTGTCATGTGCTACTCGACGAATCGCTGCCGAGGTCTAGGCACAGTCTGTAATAACATGTCAGAATCTCTTCGTTGCCTTGCCGGCCTTGAGAACTGTATCATCGGAGGTCCGCTTCGCCGGTAGACAGTCATGTGCTGTCTGTGCTGGCATGCCGGAAACGAGATGTACATCTTAATTCGTCAGCAGCCTTACCATTCCCCACGGCATTCGCGGCCTGGATCTGTCACAGCGTGACAAAGCCAACATAGCATCTCACTGTGTTGCGATCGATCGTTGATTCAACCGCTAATGGACGGTGCCCGCAAAACAGCCTCCAGAGTGGGAAAGAATTAAGGCTAAGGTTGACCCAACAGAACCCACACATTATACCTAAAGGTCCGTGCCACTTATAGTAGGTACCTGGGAGGTTAGGGATCCATGAATCAGGAGTAAATCCTCCAGGAACATCAGAAGCATCGCGAAACTCCATTCCCAGAGATGCCAGGGACCTGCATGGCTGATTCGGAGGAGCACCTTTTTGGTGGAGGAACACCTCCGCCGTTCACCGGAATTCCAGACATGCTCTGTGAACCCTGAAATCGGAGGCTTGACCCCTACAGTCCTTTTGAACTTTTCCCCCTAAAAAGGGCCCTACCTAAACCCTCAGCCCGAAAAGCCCTACTACGGTTTAGGGCTGAGGGCTTAGGCTAAATCCAGAGCCCAAAGCTCAACACCCAAAGCCTAGGAAACCTAACGTCCGAAACTCAAGACACTTGCGCTGAAAGGCCCGGGAGCCCTCTAAACCCCAACCCCGACACCTTATACCCGGAAACACGTGCTCAACAAAAAGGCTAAGCTGAACCACAGACCCTACAAACCCTAAGCCCGGAACGTGGTGAACCCAACCTTCAGTGGTCTTGAGGATGCAGCCCGATGCCGCCCCTGTCACGAAGCCGCAGCTTTCTGCCGTTGGAGCCTTGGTTCCCTTGAGCCAGAGAGGCTTCAAAGGGTTGATCCTGAACCTTAAACCTCCAAACTAAACTCTAATCCTTAACTCTAAACCTCAACTCATCCGTGATCCCTGACAACCCGATCCCATCATCAGGCCCCTTTGCAATATGGCCCAGCCCTGAACCATATGCTTCGTTCCTGGAATGCGAGATCCGGACACCCTGCCTTGTTTGATGGTCGCGGAGCCAGGGTTGCTCTTTACCCTGAATCCAGCCTTCTCGTCCTGGTTCACCGGTTGTATCTTTCCTGCCTGGCGCACAACCTGCGACCCTGCTGTGGGAAGTGACCTGAATGGAGCCTAGACCTTTCAAGTACACATCGCGTGAATGTATGCATCCCTCTTGACGGTTCTTCAGCTCCAAGCACAGATATCCTTTTTTGCAACATCGTAGAGGAACAGCGAGGTCTCAGTACCGGTTTATGGCATGCCGCGTCGGAGACTGGTGGGTCAAACGGATGTGAGGGAGACACATCATAAACAGCCCGCGGCTCTGAAGGGAGACATGCCCCAACCCTGAGCCCTAAACCGTATGATGGTGCTGAGGCTTCGCCCGAGCAGCGCGGACCTTGGCTGGATGCAAGCTTTGGATCTAGAGCTTCGGGCAAGCTATATACTGTCGGCTCGACTTCAACCCCCGACACCCCTAAGATGCACACCCTTCATGCTCGCACGTTCTGCTACAGGTTGGAAAGGGAATACCTGATATAGTAGGATCCGTATTATAAGGAGCCCAAAATCAGGTAATTACCCCTTATTTTCGGAAACTCCCATTTAGGGTTGATGCAGTTCTCCTGGCGGACGCGTCAGATTCACGGTTTCGGGCTCAGAGCTTCGAGTGTTGGGGGCTGAGTTGTTCAGGTTGAGATACTAGGTAGGATTAGGGAGACCCCGTAGAAGGGGATCCTTCTTCACCCTACTTATGGCTCCTTTAAAAGGGACCTTATTGAGAGGGTCGATATCCCCAAGGGGTCCCTTAATCCTAACTCCCAAGAGAATAGCAGGAGCATCTTTCGGGTCCTTAGCTTCGAGCTTTCGGACTTGGGCTTGGAGAGTTCTGGATGCTTGGAAGTTTGCCCCATGATGCCAACTACGAATTGTGGGAGGGGGAGTTCATGATTCAGGTTTCGACTAGTCTAGTGATTCGACCACGTGGGATGTAGCTTCCTATTGTTCTCCGACCGTCTTTTGGCCTCTAAAGGCAAGGCTGGTGTGGAGGTTGATGCGGTTGCAGAACAGCGGGAAGTAGGCGCAGTGGCTTTCACTAGCCTGCTGACGGTGACGACGACTGCTGCTGGTGCTGGTGCTGCTGCTGTCGCTGCTATGCTGTTGCTGAGTGTTGCTGCCGCTACTCGTACTACTACTACTACTACTACTACTACCACTACTACTAACGACGACGACGATGACAACGACAATGACGACGACTACTGCTGCTGCTACTGCTGCTGCTGCTACTACTACTACTACTACTACTACTGCTACTACTACTACCACCACCACCACTGATCCGTTACTACCTCGACTCAACAAGAGTAGCACTGCTGCTCTTGATAGCGCCAAGTGGTTTAGGGGTTTGGGGCTTGGGGGTTTAGTTTCGGGTTGCTTTTAGAGGTTATGGTTTAGCGATTAAGGGGTTTGGGGGTTTAGGGCTTGAGGACTTACTTCGGGGTTGAGGGTTTAGCGTCGATGTGTTCTTGCCTAAGCCCACGAGCTGGAGGCCTATGGTTTAGAATGTTTAGGCCGTAGGGTTTAGCAGGAATACGCCATGGAAAATCATGATGTTAATGCTGGCAGTGGCCCATACGATAATTGGCGAAAACACAAAAAAGAATCCCTAACCTCCCAGGTACCTACTATATAGGGTACTAGAGCCCCTAGGGCCCTATATAGTAGGTACCTGGGCGGTTAGGGAATGCATAATGCAGTCCATGGAAGTCCAAGCCCCAACTTCCGAGCCCTATGCCTTGAAGTCTTGAGCTGCTAGCAGTGCATTCCCTTCGCCCTAAACCCTAAGCAACAAAACCCCTAAAGCCCTAATCAAAGAGCCCAGCACGTCCACCAAGATCGTCTCGTTGGTGGTTCGAGGGGGATCCCGGGCCTTTTTTCCTGCTCTGCGCCGGGGTCTTGGGCGTTTGGATCCCTAGGTAGGCCTTTGGGACATTTTATGTTTTCCCTTATTGGGTCTAAAAGAATCTTTTTTACGAATATTTTTCAGAGGCTTTGAGGGCCAACCTAGATCCAGGTTGGAAAGCTAGAGTTCAGGGCTTTGCAGCTGTTTAGAGCGAGTTGTAGGGCCCCCAGAACTCTATCAACCCTGAACCCCTAAACCCCTAAACCCCCCTAAACCCTAAACCCCTAAACCCCCCTAAACCCTGAACCCTAAACCGTCATCCTAATTATTAAGGCCCTTAGGTTAAGCTTTCGGGTTCGGGCGTCGTCGACCCCGCGGCTTCGTCTTCAGCAACTTCCACATCGGAGCTTAGAAATACAACGGTTG